GTGCACACTCAGTGTGCACCTTCCTATCACTCCGGCCGGCCGGCCACCGCGGACCAGAGTGCAGCTAGGCCACGCTACAGGGGAGGGGAAGGGGAGAAGCTGCAGCCGCCTGACCGCTCTTCACAGAGCGCTCAGGCGGCTGCAGTATTTAAAGGGCCGGCCCAGGAACGCGGCCGGCCCCCAGGTGCCGCGGCCCACCGGGAAATTTCCCGGTATCCCGGTGGGCCAGTCCGGCCCTGGGCATAGCACGTGGAGCGTCGTAAGGTATTCATCCGATGCCGAAGCTGGGTAGGCATGTCACGCGTTTGGGCAGTCTATTGGGATGAGTATCATTACGATGTCTTAGCAGAGCTTCTTCCCAGCTCCAGTTTGGTGGATCAGCCATCCCTGATTTGGCACCTGCTCGGGAAGCTCCAGAGGTCATAGTCTTCCCATCAGGGAGAAAGCCTGGAGGCTGGGGAATCTGGGGGGGATCAACGTCTGTAGTGACATGCTGTCCATCTGTTGCGCGGCTTTTGTGGCTTGGTCGGTTTCCAAAACTATCGCACTGTGGGAGCGTTTGGAGTGGAAGGGACAGCTGCTCGTTTAGTAGTGCGGTGTGCGAGGGTTCCCACTGGCCACCTCTCTTGGTGCTGGGTCACAGCAGGGTGCGCCAGCCTCATCCTCTCCTCCAGTGTAGCCCAGAAACGGACGAAGATCACCTCCAGATCAAACAAGATGTGGCAGGAGTCTGCACAGCATAGTGTCAGATCTCTTGTCGCTGGTGCCTCTGCGTCCGCCATCCTTCTGGATAGGTATTGACAGTAAAGTCCTCCACAGCTCTAATCAAGCTAAATTTGACTGGGATATCGCCAATTGGTCCAGAAGGGGGGGAGGGGGGTTGGAGTGCAGCGGTTCTATGCTAGAAACTCGAGAGCGAGGAGGTTGGCCGCCTCTCCCCGTCTCCATCCCCAGCAAGCCGCAGCAGGTTTTCTCTGGCTCCTGGTGGTGTAAATGCTTGTGAAGTGTGTCATATAGCTTGTCCAGGAGTCCCTGACCTGAGATGGGCACAGGATGGAGCGTAGTAGTGCAAGATTGGTTAAATTAACCCAAGATTCAGCCAAATATACAGGAGCTCAGGCACCACATGTCCAAACAGCTTAAAGGTCAGGCTCCGCCCCCCCAGTAATAATGCATTTTGTAAGATATTATTGAGTATTTGGCTTCTTTTTGCTTTGTCTCCTTTTGCCTTTCTTAATTAAACCTGGTCATTGCCTATCCGGCTGTTGCTTTAGCATATGTCATTTTGTTCAGAAATGCTTTAATTTTACTAAAATGAAAATCACATGAAAACTTGTTCCAATATTCTGTTAGTCCAATAAAAATGTTATAGCTATTTACTGCAATACTCTTTCATATAAATATTTAATTTATCATTAGTACATTCAGAATTGCCATATGTACTTATAAAGTCACAAAAAGACCTGGGTATCGGTGACACAGACTATTTAGAAACAGAATGCCTGTGGGGTAGATTATGTCACTTTTGTACCAGTGCTGCCTTTTAGTGGTATATATTATCTGTCTGTGCTCCTCTATCATATTACATTTGAGCTTCTGCATGTGCCCAATAAAAAAGCTTTAAGCATACTGTCCCTAGAATCTCACTAACTGGATTAAGATACCGCTCTAAAACTAGATTAATGGGTTAAATTATCATCAGTTATGCTGGAACCAGGTACTTAAGGGCATGGCATACCTTGCAGTATAGTTCACTCCAGGTATGCATGAAATTATTAGAGTAGAAAACGTAGTGGTGTAAGGCCGCACTCATCAATTTGCAATGCCAACTTTTGACTAAAGTGGATTTGAAGAGCATTTGTCAAGGAATATGGTAGAGTATAGTGCAAAGTATAAACCAAAGCGCTACCAAAAAAAAGCCAGTCCAAAAGGTAACGAAAAAACGCTAAATGACGAGGTCGGAGAATAACCTATAATTCAGGGATACCTGAAATATACCACCACAATCAAAGTTCCAAAAAAATGCAAAGTGCTGACAATATAAAAAGCACCACTGCAGCTTCTGGGGTCCAAATATATTTGAGACTGGGTATTGGCAAGTTGAGAGCAGTGGAGACTCGTCCATTGGAGCACTTGGGGCAGCATCCCACTAGTTTTAATTTGCAGTAGTTTAGAAACACTTAGATTCTTTTTCTGGAGGGAAGGGAGGTAAGTCAAAAATATGGGGAAAAAATAGGTCTCTTTAATTCTGTAATCGATTTCAGTTCTGTAGGCCTCATACCCCCCACTGGTAGCTGCTTGTAAAAACTTACTTGAGAACAACTAGGCATGTAAACAACTTGGGGCACCTTTGAAATCTGCCCTGTTTCAGCAGGTTTTGCACATGCCTAGTGTCCTTTAAGAAGGAATTTTTAATGAGTTGCCATTTGGGCAGCAGAGCAAGCTAATGATCTCTCTATTCTGGGGCCATCATCGGCTGATAGCACCTGGGATTGGGTTTATAATGCCCACAGAAGAAAGAAGCAAGATGCCATCTTGGAAGTAACATAGAGAGAGCACAACAGCAGTAGCAGCTCCTGCCCAATATAGGATTATTTATTATTGTGTTCAGCTCTGTGTGTTATTTCTCTGTATTTTACTCAGCTCTACCTGTTGTCTGGATATCTCACCTCTGTGTATTGTATATGTATCTTTGTATTGTGCCCAGCTCTGTGTATTATATCTCTATTTTTCCTCAGCTCTGTTAGTGGTATGGTTATCTCTGTATTGTACTAAGTTCTATATATTATAGATATATTTATGTTGTGTTTAGCTTGTTTTATAATATGAGCATTTCTGTATTATGCTCAGCTCTCTGTATTGTATGAGCATCTCTGTACTGTATAGGGAGTACAATTCCTTCTTAATACTTCACCAGCTGCCATTGGTTGAGAAAATACATCAGATACAAAGGCACAAAAGGACAGGTCATCTTGGAACCACCAAGTTGGATGTTCAGCATCAAGACTTACCTTCCACAGATGGTAGCAATAGGGCTTGGTTTAGAGACAGAAAGAAAGACTGGGAGGTCAAAGGAGGGACTAAAGGTCTGGGGAAAAAGTTTTGAGGAAAAAGACACAACTATGTCTCTGTAAGTTTGCACGAACATTGGCCTGGCACACGGCTAAGAAAATGTAGGAAATCCATTACCAAAGGTCTTGTCACAGGCAATAGCTTGTATAATTTCTATTAATAGTCCCTTTATGCTGCGCTTTGATTTATATTTAAATATAGGTGGGATTAGAAAGGAGAGGGGGCCCCACTATTAAAAGCTCGGAGCAAGGCCCATTGATGCTTTAAAGTGGTTCTGTGGGGATGGAAGTGATGAAATTTGCTGTGAATAAATGTTTCAGGACTAACATAATGTTTATGTTTGGAAAAGGCTATTTAACACGGCAGTTAAAGTTTAATGCTCTAAGGAAAACATTTTCTTTTCACAAGACTTCCCTTTTAATTGAAATTTTTGTTCCTTCCTGGCAACAAATGCCATGTTTTCTACCATGCATTCAAATCCTTTACCAGCTAAGCAGAGATGTTTTTATTCCCTCGGCCTCTCTTTCTATTCAATTAAATAGTTTTCTGTTTTGTAACGGTCTTTTTCACTTATAAACATTCATACAGTATGTGTAAAGCAATCTAAACCACCAGTCTAAGCATCTGTTAGTCCAAGGGTAGCCAACAGGTAGGTATCCAGCAGTTGTTCAAATATGATATGATAATATTTATATGTAAGGTTACCATATGAATCAATGAGGTTGTCCATTACAATCTATGAAAAGAGGTGGTGGTGGGGGGGATATGGGGAGAAAGATCCACACAGATATATTTATTGGGGAATGAAAGGGTGCAGATACCCGCACAATAATGTAGCTCTTAGTTAAAGGAGCACGCCATGCACCATAACCACTACAGACCCTCTATGTTCTCCTGGCAGAGTTTATTAATGGTTTGATACTTACCTTGGTTCCCTGGACTCCTGCACTGTGTAAGGTGTTCTCCACACAGTTGAAATTAACATTTGGAAACTATCTCAAGTTTGTGGAAGTTTTAAGTTCATTTATTGGCTGAGAGTGTAAGTTGAGTTCATTGCACTTTGCCAAGTGAGATCAGACTGATTTGCATAGATGTGCTTCAGCACTCTTTCCCTTGGCCACTAAGTCACTAAACCATAACTCCAAATTTCATCCTTACACGTAGCGTTGGCTGAGAGGGAGTACAAAATTTCCCACTCAGCCTTACTTCAGAACGTTAGCACTATTGGAAACAATCTGGCTGGGGGGAAAGAGATTTGGGGAGAAAACTACTGGGAGAGGCTACAAATGGGGGAGCAATGGCATAGAGAGCAGTACGTGGAATAAAGGGGAGAGATGACTGAAATAGAGAAAAGACTGATGATGGGAAGATATAAATGGGGAGATATTAAGGGGGTGTACAAGATGTGTGGGGAGGAGAAATTAGAAAGAGAGATACATGGTATGGGGAGACACAATTAAGTGTAAAGGGTATTATTGACATCATTGAGGAAAGGGTAGGTGACAGAGACAAATTGAAAAGTGGAGCAGAGAGACAGAGGTAAGAAAAAGGAGACATGGGAAAGAGGCAGAGAGAGACACAGCTGGTGAGTAATGGTGAAAACCTATGGGAGAAGTAAGGAAACAGAGACACGTGTGGGGAGAAATTTGGAGGAGACAAGTGTTGAGATTTAAGAGACATGTGAGGACATAGGGAGACACAGAACTGGTGACAACAGAAAGATGGAGTCACAAAATAAAACAGATTCATGATTGTAATGCTAAAATACATTTCTTCATTCACACACATCACGCTAAACATTTACACACCATCTTGAAACAGTTTAATCATTCCTGCATTCATACAAAGATGCTGACACCCCACGTAAACTCAATATTAACATATCTGCACTGACACACACTGTCACTGCACAAATTTATTCCTGCATCACAACTCCACAACACTGACAATGCACACATGCATTCACTCTTACTTTTTTACTCAGGAGTAGAGGTTCTGCGTTTACACATGCCAACGCTTTAAACCTCTGCATTTACACATTCTGTCTGTGCTTGTGTATAATCTGCATGTGCTAAAAGAAAAGTAGATGTCCTGTGTAAACTACATTCACACGTGCAATGCCCTAAAACGCATCATTGTTTTGACAGATAGTGACATTACGCAAATACACACACACACACACACACACAAAACATGCTTGACACTGATCCTACACATACTTAAATACAGCAAAACAGGAAAAGGTTGTGCCAATTGTGAACAAATGTGTTTAATATATTAAAACACTAAAACAAAGAACAAGTATCAAATATAAAAGTCCAAAGTCAATATGTAAACTTGCAAAGGTAGCAGCCAAATCCCATAGAGGAGTCTGTTCGTCCTTTTCTATAGGGATACCAGATCCAAAGAAGAAAGCCAATAGTGCAATTTGTGGTACTGTTAAAGTGAAAGTCTTATATGGTCCTACTCACGTTTTTAGAGCTAAAACCATCTCTAGTATAATGGGTGTACAGTGGTATAATCCCCACTTGTAGGATTTGTGTAGTAGTGTAGTTAGCAGTGCAGTTTTTACAGCGATATAGGGACCATGAGCCCAAAAATGACAAAAAAATGACAATAGTGCTCACTAAACCAGGAGTAATAAATAGAAATAAATGTACTCACATTTAATTGAACAGACACATCGCTCAATGAATAATGTGTGAATGGA